TCATTAGATCATATGTGTCCCATTCAAATTTGTGCTTTATCACACGGATTTTGCATATTCAATGTTTTTTAAAAAGCTGTTCACCGTGTCCCCTGTGTCTTCATCATCATTGCTTTGTTCTCCCTATATGGATCTCTTGAGTGCCGAATATCATTTTTAATGTGTGATGATATATTAGGTGCTTGGATTGGCTGGTTGCATTAGCACACGACATCACTAGTTGAGTGGGGATAGGTTATCATGTATAATTAGTAACTCAACTTTGTCTGAACTTGTGAAGATATGTTTATGGAGAATATGCATTTCTATAACACATAAACTATTGACTTATGAATTGGAAACCATATTAAGTCATGGTATACTGGACTAGAAATTCGGGTATCCAATGTCTTCTTTCAAAACTTGAAACTCACTGTCATAAGATGAGATTGCTTATGAAATGAGTGGAAGAGGAAAGCATACACCACCAACAACTAAGCCTCCATTTGTAACTTTTATGGACATGGGGAAAGAGTTTGGGTTTCAAGCATGTTCTTGGTTTGAATAAACTATAGTGTGATTGTCTTCCTCTGTTCCCCTTATCTTTGTTCTTTCTTTCTTTAATCACTTGTTAGTTTGAAATTGATGTGGTATTGTCGAATTTCCTTTCATCTGTCTAGTTTTCCAATATAATTGCAATGTCATTTTTTTCCAGCCCTTATTTGTCTTCCGTAGGAAATTTTCATTGCCTGTATTGACAGATGTTTTCAATTTAAATTAACTGTGGTGGCTGGTTTCATCTGCTAAAAGTAATGTTCCTAATTATTTTTCAAAAAGTCTAATTGTGTTTTAATGGGCTTTTTTTCTTTTTGCAGATACATTCTGCTGCTACTATCCTGGACAAAAATAATTTGGTCAAGTACGACAGGAAGAGTGGATATTTCCAGGTGACTGACTTGGGTCGAATTGCGAGCTACTACTATATTACTCATGGGACAATGTCCACATATAATGAGCATTTGAAGCCAACAATGGGAGATATTGAGCTGTGCCATCTATTGTCACTAAGTGAAGAATTTAAATATGTTACAGTTAGACAAGATGAGAAGATGGAACTGGCAAAGCTTTTGGACTGTGTTCCAATTCCTATCAAGGAAAGCCTGGAGGAGCCTAGTGCCAAAATTAATGTTTTGCTGCAAGCATATATTTCTCAGCTAAAGCTTGAAGGGCTTTCATTGACATCTGACATGGTGTTCATAACTCAGGTTTGTGTTCTTCTAATTGGCATTGCAGTTTCTTCTTTCTTTCTTTCTTTTCCAGTTAGATTCTTGATTTGTATACAACTTTTATTCATTTGTTTCTGTTTTCTTTGAAGAGTGCTGGTCGTCTTATGCGAGCTCTCTTTGAGATTGTCTTGAAAAGAGGATGGGCCCGGCTAGCTGAGAAGGCTTTGAATTTGTGTAAAATGATTAATAAGAGAATGTGGAGTGTCCAGACTCCTCTTCGCCAATTCCATGGGATCCTTAATGAAATTCTGATGATGTTGGAGAAGAAAGATTTGTCATGGGAAAGCTACTATGACCTTAAACCACAGGAGATTGGTGAGCTCATCCGTTTTCCCAAGATGGGCAAAACACTGCACAAGTTCATCCACCAATTCCCAAAGTTAAACCTTGCAGCACATGTTCAGCCCATTACTCGCACTGTGTTGAGGGTTGAACTTACAATAACTGCAGACTTTCTATGGGACGAAAACATTCATGGATATGTGGAGCCATTTTGGGTTATCATGGAGGATAATAATGGTGACTCTATTCTTCATCACGAGTACTTTATGCTGAAAAGGCAGTCCGTTGATGAGGAACAGGTTGTGGACCCCACACTGAATTTCACAGTGTTGATCCATGAGCCATTGCCACCTCAGTATTTCATTCGTGTTGTGTCAGATAAATGGCTTGGTTCACAAACAGTTTTGCCCGTCTCTTTCAGGCATCTTATCTTGCCAGAAAAGTATCCACCTCCTACAGAGTTGTTGGACTTGCAGCCTCTGCCTGTGACCGCGTTGAGAAATCCATCATATGAAGCTCTTTATCAAAATTTTAAGCATTTTAATCCAGTGCAAACTCAGGTCTTTACTGTTCTTTATAATACAGATGATAATGTCTTGGTTGCTGCACCAACAGCTAGTGGGAAAACTACCTGTGCAGAGTTTGCCATATTGAGGAATCACCAAAAGGGACCAGAGTGTGTAATGCGTGCAGTGTATATTGCTCCTCTTGAAGCAATTGCCAAGGAACGCTATCGTGATTGGGAGAGAAAGTTTGGCCAAGGTCTTGGCATGCGTGTTGTTGAATTAACTGGGGAAACAGCTACAGACTTGAAGCTACTTGAAAGGGGTCAAATAATCACCAGCACTCCCGAGAAATGGGATGCTCTGTCTCGACGATGGAAACAGCGGAAGTATGTCCAGCAAGTTAGTCTTTTTATCATTGATGAGCTTCACTTGATTGGGGGTCAAGGTGGTCCTGTCTTAGAGGTGATTGTCTCTAGGATGCGGTACATTGCTAGTCAGATAGAGAACAAGATACGGATTGTGGCTTTGTCTTCCTCTCTCGCAAATGCCAAGGATCTTGGGGAATGGATAGGAGCTACATCTCATGGCCTTTTCAATTTTCCTCCAGGTGTGCGTCCTGTGCCCCTGGAAATACACATTCAAGGTGTTGATATTGCCAATTTTGAGGCAAGGATGCAAGCAATGACGAAACGAACATATACTTATATTGTCAAGCATGCAAAGAATGGTAAGCCAGCTATTGTCTTTGTTCCCACAAGAAAGCATGTGCAACTCGCCGCTGTAGATCTGATTACATACTCAAGTGTGGATGGTGGAGAGATGCCAGCTTTTCTGTTAAGGTCTGAAGAATTGGAACCTTTCATTGGAAGGATCCAGGAAGAAATGTTGAGAGCCACTTTGTGCCATGGAGTTGGGTACTTGCATGAGGGCTTGAGCAGCTTGGATCAAGAAGTTGTGCACCAGCTGTTTGAAGCTGGGTGGATTCAGGTTTGTGTCATGAGTAGTTCATTATGCTGGGGGTTGCCTTTGTCAGCACATTTAGTGGTGGTGATGGGAACTCAATACTATGATGGGAAAGAAGATGCTCACACGGATTATCCTGTCATAGATCTTCTGCAGATGATGGGTCATGCTAGCCGACCTCTTCTGGATAATTCTGGAAAGTGTGTCATCTTTTGCCACGCACCTCGTAAAGAATATTACAAGAAATTCTTATATGAAGCATTTCCTGTGGAAAGTCATTTGCACCATTTCTTACATGATAATTTTAATGCTGAAGTTGTTGCTGGAGTTATTGAGAACAAGCAGGATGCTGTTGATTATCTCACATGGACTTTCATGTATAGGAGGCTCACTCAGAATCCAAACTACTACAATCTCCAGGGAGTTAGTCACAGGCATCTTTCTGATCACCTCTCAGTGCTTGTTGAGAACACATTGGCTGACCTAGAAAAGAGTAAATGTGTTGGTATCAAGGATGACATGGACCTTTCTCCTTTAAACCTTGGCATGATAGCGTCTTACTATTACATCAGTTATACTACTATAGAACGTTTTAGCTCCTCTCTGACTCCCAAAACAAAGATGAAGGGTCTTCTGGAAATCCTCGCTTCAGCCTCAGAGTATGTGCAACTGCCAATACAACCTGGGGAGCAGGAGGTGCTTCGAAGATTAATCAATCATCAGAGGTTTTCGATTGAAAATCCTAGATATGCTGATCCACATGTGAAGGCTAATGTGTTGCTACAAGCCCATTTCTCTAGGCAATCTGTGGGTGGGAACCTAGCATTGGAACAGCGAGAGGTGCTTCTTTCTGCCAGTAGATTGCTTCAAGCAATGATTTATGTCATTTCAAGCAATGGCTGGTTGAACTGTGCTCTCCTTGCTATGGAAGTTAGCCAAATGGTGACACAAGGGATGTGGGAGCAAGATTCCATGCTTCTACAGCTTCCACACTTCACAAAGGAGTTGGCTAAGAAATGCCAGGAGAACCCGGGAAAGAGCATTGAGACAGTGTTTGATCTGGTAGAGATGGAAGATGATGAGAGGCGTGAGCTTTTGCAGTTGTCAGACTCTCAGGTGCTAGATATTGTGAGGTTTTGCAATCAATTTCCCATCGTTGATATGTCTTACGAGGTGACGGATGGTGATAATGTGAGGGCAGGAGAAGACATCACTTTGGTTGTCACCCTTGCAAGGGATCTAGAGGGGACAGAGGTGGGACCTGTTGATGCCCCAAGGTATCCTAAAGCCAAAGAAGAAGGGTGGTGGCTTGTTGTCGGTGATACCAGGAGCAACCTGTTACTTGCCATCAAGAGGGTTTCCCTTCAGAGGAAGTCAAAGGTGAAGCTGGAGTTTGCTGCTCCTACAGATGCTGGAAGGATGTCATATACTCTCTATTTCATGTGTGATTCTTATCTTGGCTGTGACCAGGAATACAACTTCTTTGTTGATGTCGGTGAAGCTGCAGGCCCAGATGAAGACAATGAAGGAGAGTAAACTGCAGTTAGATATTTTTTTCCCTTCTCATTTTTGTCTCTTCCAGTAGCAATATTGGAATTTAAAAGAATAGCTGGCTAATCTTTCTAATCTTGGTGTATTTGCTTTTGTTTTAGGAGATGGTCATATATATAGTTCATGCTGTCGGTGGAAATGACTGCTTTGAACATGCATGACAATGTGATGAAGATTTAGTTTCAGGTGGCAGTGCCTTGCTTTTGCAGACTTGGTAGAGTTGGTACCCAGATGAATTTTCTTTCGTGGTTCATTGCTTGTTTTCTTCGTTACTGAATTTGTAATTAATGTATATAATTTTCACTGCACTTCTTGATGGTGCGCCTTTTTTAGGTTAAAGTTGCATTATCATGATCAGGTATTTATTGATTGAGTTGGGTAGGATGTATGGATCAATCATCATCGTAACCAAGAAGAAGATGGCGATGTTATGATTTTTTGTACTTCTTTCATCTCTAGGAAGTTGATTGCAGGAATTGACGAGTGCTGAGGGATGATTTTCTCTTGCCGTGGCCTGAGTGAGTACTCGTTATTATCGATGAACATGATTTCATATCAGAATCAGATTGTTTTTTACCATATTTCTCACGGGCTATTCGACTTGTTTTTATTTAATGAGAATCATATTTCGTGTGGACTAAATTTGTTCCAAGTAGTCAGCTAACGAAAACTTACGGTGAATTATGAATGTATACTGAATGGATTCAAGAGGCATTTCGTATGTGAACAACATACGCATGCTTTTAGGCATTCTGGCTGCAGCAAGGATGATCTTGATTACCTCAAACTGTGATCAGAATATGTGGGAATTGTTTGGAATGATTATAATGGTTTTTTTTTAATTATTAATATAAGTGTTCGGGTCAATTTATCTACCTCTTAATTAATTTTATATATTTTAAACTTAATGATTATATAATTTTTTTGGAAGCTGTCAATTTATCTACCTCTTAATTAATTTTATAAATTTTAAAATTAATAATTATATAATTTTTTTGGAAGCTTCGAAGATACCTGAACTTGAAAATAAATGTATCAATTCTTTTTAGTTAGAAAAAATAATTGAAACGAGGGTAGCTACTTGCAACCATACTGAGATTAACCTCTTGATGAATAAAAAAGGATAGGAAACAAGAGAAAAAAGGAACCTGCTGGTCTTTTCACTTAATAATTGTAACTCCAGAGCTTCACAAATTTTGTTTGGATAGGTATCAAACTATTTTAATATTGCAAGAAAAAAAATAAAATTACAATAATTAGCATTTGTTTATAAATTAACTCACACTCAAGTTAGATTGTTGATGAGATTTATTTTCTTTCTTAAAGTTTGAATTTAAAAAAATAATGACTGTCAACAAAAAATAAATAAATAAATAAAACTATCCAAATCATAAACAACTTGTTACTAAGTATATAAACATTTTAGGTTTGGATAATTATAATTCTTAAAGATAATATAACATTGAGCTAATTACTATAAGCAAAGCAAAGGATCAAATTGATCCCATTTTTTTCTTAAAGCTTTCAACATTAACGTGTAATACGTTATTAGTTCCCTTAATTCCGAATATTAGCATGTTTTTACGGTGAAAAAGTATTTTTTAAAAAAGAATTTTTTTTTATGTTTTAATATAAAAGGTATTAAAAAAAACCTGCTGCTCTAGTAACGAATAATCTCTTTATAATTTTATTTTATTTTTTATTTTTTTTGTTGGCAGGGAGATGATCATAAAACGAGTCTTCTGGGTGAGAAAACAAAGGGAGGGCGCAACTAAAACGATGTCGCTTTGTTCTCGTCCTATCTAGCACAAGAGGGAGGGGGGCGGGAGTTGTACCAGCATTTTGCTGCCCAGAAATAGGTATGGAGTTGAAGGCTGCTTAATTTAGGGCTTGGTGGAGAAATACTCTTTCAAACATCAATTTGTTAGACGTATGTTGTTAAAAATTGTGTAATTAATTAAATATTAAAGAGTTGGAGAAAAAATGGAGCATAGTTTATGGAATCATTTGCCGTTACTAGTAAGAGCAAACTCTAAAGAATCAGTAGAGTGCATTCTTCAAGCTCTCTGGCGAACTCGTCAAACTGGTCTCGATTCCGCCGACCGACTTGTCATTCGCGACATCCTCCAACTCCCAAACGACACCGATCTCGACCCCGTAAGCAACTAAATCATCTTAGGGTTTCGTTTTTTGAAAAATGATTTCATATTTTTTTCTTTACCTGTTTCTGCAGTTATTGGTTTGTCTTCGAATGCTGATTCGAAGGTGTGTGTACGAGAATGTAAGCAAAGATGATATTCAGAAGTTGTTTCCTGAAGAGGTTTTGCCGGAATTGCAAAGGTTGTTGACGCTTTTACTTCAAAAGTTTCAGACAGAGTGGCGAGCGGATGTGTTCAAAGATCAGGTAATGTTTGTAGGTCTTCGATTTGTGTATGGTGAGATACGAGGATGTTGAGTTTGAATTTTAATTTTTGCTGTTCAGGTTGATTTTCCACGGTTGAAGGCAATGACATGGAATATGGCGAACCAGGATGCAACGGAAGGGACTGATCCTGTCGCTGTTATCAATTTGAAGGTATTGAATTCACTGTTTGGGGCTGTGGTAGAATATTAACTTGTGCTTAATTTGGACCAAATTCTTGGATGAGATTTAAAAGTGTGTACATTAAAAACGTCGAGAAAGGTCATGAGCTGATTATGTTTTAATCAGCTATGATTGTGCTCTGTGCAGCTTCAAGATGATACACAGTCTCACTCAGAAGTGAAGTTCCAATTAGGTAAAGATACTCTAGAAACAATGGTAAAGTCTATGTACTGCATAAGAGACCAATTGTCTGACTTGGTAAGTTTTGCACTTGAAATTTACGTTGCTTTTCCTTATGCATATATTATGAGGTGCAATTTTGTTTGTGATTTGTAGTTCGGTTTTCGCTGTGTTTAAATGTTGTCTTCCATCGCAGGGTGGGGCATCAAATAGGCAGTTATCTCAGGGAACCAACATAGTCTAGGAAGTTAGTAACTCTTGCTTGTAGCAATGCCTGAAATGGAATGGTATGGGCCATGTCTTTGACTTGGAATCTATCCGCTGCAAGATTTGACATGGTATGTTGTTATATTGATTAAACTATAGCAAATTATGCGGAGATGTGAAGATTTTATATTGTTTATTGCTGTTGGGGGCACAATATCTTAACTGTAATGGTCAAGGTTTTGTTCACCAGAAGATGTCTCTGAACCAGTTACACTTTGGACATTCTTTTTACACATGCAGTGCCCCACCACTTGAAAGAGAGAAACCTTTTGTTGATCAGGAGCAAGAATCATTGGGATTCTTTTGGCAATAAAGAACATTTAGACATGTAACCGTGCTTAGTAGTTTGTATTGTGGAGTCAGTGATGATGTTACTGGTGAATGGTTTGTTGGTCATGTCACTCATGGCATGTAACTATGCTTAGCAGTTTGTATTAGGAATGAATTTTAGTTTTTGGGAAAAAATAATTGAATCCTTTGACAAAATGCATCTCTGCTTATAAGGATCAGGTCACTAGTGTATATTTATGCATCATCACTTGGCTTCTAATAGCAAAGGATTGAAGCACATCTTACATGCATGCTCGAAATTGATAACCTAGCTCCCAGTTGAAGAGTTCATTTATTTTTGTGTTTCAAAAGTGTTTTTAAAAAAAATATAATTTTTTTATTTGCCTCAAATTAATTATTTTTAGTGTTTCCAGATTATTTTGATATATTTTGATGTATTAAAAAAAATATTACTTGATGTATTAAAAAAAAAATTATATTGTTTGGTTGGGAAAGTTTCCTTGCTATTTCCATTTCTGTGGAAGCAAGACTTTTTTTTGTTTCTCAGACGTAACAACACATGATGCAACAAAAAAGAGCAGTTGATATTATCAGTTTCAGATTCTTGATGTCACGTTTTTCGCCATTACTTGGTGGTGTAAGATTCTTCTGTTATGTTTTTATTTTACATCACATGGTAAAAGCAGGGTGGAGCCTTTACCTTCTTCAGTCCAGAATGAAGAGCGAGACCGAAGGTTTGCCTGGCGTTATTTTAATGTGCATCTGTCACAGGCCAACGGTTTAGGATCTCCTAGAAGTAAAGTTCATATTCATTGAGTTCGTGGTCGATGGAGGAAGGCCAAGCATTTAAAAATGCAATATTAAAAAATGCAATATTATTGTGGTCGATGGATATGCAAATTGATCCATTGTATTCATGGACCGAGTCTAGGCCTAGATTTATAGCACTCCTGCACTCATGACACAAGCAGCCATCGTGCAAATTGCAAATTGACGTGCGATGAAATCGATGATGTCCAAAAATATTGAAGCAGTTTAAAAACAAGATTTTTATATGGGATAATAAGTTAATTTTTTTTATTTTAGTAATATGATTTATTTATTTTTAACTAAGGTGGTTGATGTTTGATGATTGATACTTATAAAAAAATTATTTTAATAAATTTAAAAATTCTTGTATGCTTGAGTAAATATTTTTATAAAAAGAAAATATAATAATATTTAGAAAGATATTTTTAAAATATACATGCACTAGAAAAAGAATATTGTAAACTTTTTTTATTTGAGTGGTAAAGAGTATTTATAACCTTTGAATCTTGTTAGAAAAGGTTAAAGAGTCATTTTTTTCTGATAATATTAATGGAAGATAAATATCTTTTATATAATATTAATGATGATAAGAATATAGTAGGTTTTTTGAAAACTTTTATATATCTAAATATATAAAGAAATGAATATTTTTTATATTAATATTTTGGGTTAAAAATCATAATAATAAACAAATAAAATATTATGGCCTAATATGGAGCCTATAATGTTCATTTGAGCTTGACATAATACCAAGCTCTCGAATGGTGAGTCTAGTATTTTTCTAAACTCATGTTCACTTAAATTTAACGCATAACTAATTTTAATAATATTGAATCTTATAATTTATCAAACTCATGTCTACTTGGACTTAGCATAAAACTAAACTTGAAGATATTTAGTCTAATAACTTATTAAATTCATATTTGTTTGATATCAATATATAACTGAACTCAAAAATATTACATATAATAACCCACTAAACCTATACCTATTCGAGCTAGTGTATATTTATGCATCATCACTTGGCTTCTAATAGCAAAGGATTGAAGCACATCTTACATGCATGATCGAAATTGATAACCTAGCTCCCAGTTGAAGAGCTCATTTATTTGTGTTTCAAGAGTGTTTTTGAAAAAAATAAAATTTTTTATTTGCCTTAAATTAATTATTTTTAGTGTTTTCAGATTATTTTGATGTATTAAAAAAAATATTACTTGATGTATTAAAAAAAAATTATATTGTTTTGTTGGGAAAGTTTCCTTGCTATTTCCATTTCTGTGGAAGCAAGACTTTTTATTGTTTCTCAGACGTAACACATCTAGCGGTGGTAGGAGCCTTGTTCTTTTTGCTGTGCATGGGTTCGAGCCCTGACGTTGCACGTTTGTCAGTCCCGTGCTGCCTTACCTGCTTGTTGGGTTTGTAGGGTATTCAGTAGGCCGTGGGGATTAGTCGTGGTGCGTGCACGCTGGCCCGAACACCCCATATTAATAATAAAAAAAAAAATCTTGGTCGATGGAGGAAGGCCAAGCATTTAAAAATGCAATATTAAAAAATGCAATATTATTGTGGTCGATGGATATGCAAATTGATCCATTGTATTCATGGACCGAGTCTAGGCCTAGATTTATAGCACTCCTGCACTCATGACACAAGCAGCCATCGTGCAAATTGCAAATTGACGTGCGATGAAATCGATGATGTCCAAAAATATTGAAGCAGTTTAAAAACAAGATTTTTATATGGGATAATAAGTTAATTTTTTTTATTTTAGTAATATGATTTATTTATTTTTACTTAAGGTGGTTGATGTTTGATAATTGGTACTTATAAAAAATTTATTTTAATAAATTTAAAAACTCTTGTATGCTTGAGTAAATATTTTTATAAAAAGAAAATATAATAATATTTAGAAAGATATTCTTAAAATATACATGCACTAGAAAAAGAATATTTTAAACTTTTTTTATTTGAGTGGTAAAGAGTATTTATAACCTTTGAATCTTGTTAGAAAAGGTTAAAGAGTCATTTTTTTCTGATAATATTAATGGAAGATAAATATCTTTTATATAATATTAAATAAAAAACAAATATTTTTTATATAATATTAATGATGATAAGAATATAGTAGGTTTTTTGAAAACTTTTATATATCTAAATATGTAAAGAAATGAATATCTTTGATATTAATATTTTGGGTTAAAAATCATAATAATAAACAAATAAAATATTAATATGGAGCCTGTAATGTTCATTTGAGCTTAACATAATACCAAGCTCTCAAATGGTAAGTTTAGTATTTTTCTAAACTCATGTTCACTTAGATTTAACGCATAACTAATTTCAATAATATTGAATCTTATAACTCATCAAACTCATGTCTACTTAGACTTAGCATAAAACTAAACTTGAAGATATTTAATCTAATAACTTATTAAACTCATATTTGTTTGATATCAGTGTATAACTGAACTCAAAAATATTAGATATAATAACTCACTAAACCTATACCTACTCGAGCTTCATTTTTAATCACGTTTAATATTGAACTTGAAAACAAGCTATTTTTATATTATTTGTATCCAATAGTCTCTCCAGTTGTTTGATATTGAATCTAAAAACAAGCTATATTTATATTATTTATATTTATTGTCAAGTTAAAATATGCTGAGTTTAAATTTAAGTTCAACTCATTTGTCACTGGATAATTACCTTGTTTTTTAGCCTTTTAAATAAAAACTTACATGAAAAAATTATTTTTCAAAACATGCTTATCCATCATAAACCTAACCGTCACGTTATGAATATCTTTAGGACTTGCGTGTGTGGACTGTGGAGTCTTTCTATAACCCATCATGTCATTGAATATCTGTAGAACTTAGGACCAAGTCTTGGCCTAGATTTACAGCACTTCCGCGCTCGAGGCACAAGCAGCTATCGAATTCCATTTTCCCAAATCAGGGGTGGAGTTACAGAGCAATGACACCGACTTATCATTCCGTCGTGATATTGAATTTCTCCAGAACTTAGGCATCTGGAGTCTTTCTATAACCCGTCTTTGACTGGACTGATGAACTTGATTTATTCTAAGTCTCCGCGTATCAATCATCGAACTGTAATTTTTCAAGTCCATGTGATTTTGACAACGGAAGGTCGTAATGGAGTTATCCTGTGGCCATCATCAAGTAATTTTTGCGCAGAAAGTGGGAGAAGAATGGCTCGGAATTGAGACCGCACTTGCTAAATGAAGACAAAGGGTGAAAGTAATGATAGCTTGCGGAAATGCAAGCCTGTTTTTTCCATCAAATTATGTGGCCGTTCTTCCATCGTCCATGGGAGGCGGTTCTTAAAATACAAGGGATAGAGGGAGAAAAGACAAAAGACAGAAAATAGTGAGGTTGCAATAACGGGTTTAATTAAAATTAAGGGATTGTTTGAAGTTTCCGTAATTATTGTTTTTTAAAGTATCTTTTAGTTAAAAATATATTAAAATAATTTAAAAATAAATTTTTATAAAGCATGATTTACACGACATCTCCTTTCATAATACTGGGATTATGGTTGGTCTTCGTCATGATGTGAATTAAATTTAAAAGAGAAAAAAGAATCAAATACAAAATGGAGTTTGACAATTGCTTTTTTGACCAGATTGATTAGTCTTAAGCAATCGAAGATTCTTAACATCCTGAACCAAACCCTTGCTAAGTACATGGTTTCAAACCATCCATTTGCAAATAAAATAAATCCCAAAACCGTCGATCGAGCTGAAAATCACAGAAAACAGAAAAGTCGTCGGAAAGAGGGCTCATCAACCGGGTAGATGGAGTGTGAAACCACATCACGTCAAAACACATTAGGTGGCGAAATTGATCTGACAAATCAGGCAGCCTTCCCTTGGATATATCTGTGGTTGGCTCAGCAGGAAGACATATTTTTTCCCCTAGGAAATGGTCAGCTTTTGTGGGGATCGAGAGCTGACAGTGGCGCATGTCGCACGGCATGGATTGATTAATTTGCAAACTAGTTGAAGTTGATGTTAATGCTTGATAACTAGAGTTTTTTTATTAGAAATAAATACAGCTGCCTAACAGCATTGGATGTTTAAATATTATTGATACGGTGAGCTTAGATTAAAGAAGAATAGCTTGTTTGTTTTTTTTAAAAAAAAAGTATTTTAAATTAATGTTTTTTAAGATAAAAACAATATAAAAAATAAATCTTAAGTAACATCAACGTCTATATACCTATGATCTTGGCAGTACCTTGCCTTGTCTCTCCTTCTGCCGAGCACATGACCTAATTAAGGATTTTCTATTGGTGAACTCGCATTCACAGAACAGTAATCTGTATAACTTCCCAACAAAGTAAAATGGTTGATTGATGTTTGA